TGATCCCAGAACATGTAGCCTATGGACTCTAAATTTCAGAACAAATTCATCTGTGCTCTGGTTTTTTTTACATATCCATGTAAACTGTAAATACGTACAATAATAATAAAAAAGATTATTCTACCTAGAGCAGTGTTTCTCGACTTTAGCAACTTTAAGATATACAGACTTCAATTCCCAGAATTCCCCAGCCAGCATGGAAAGTTGAACTCCATATATCTTAAAGTTGCCAAGGTTGAGAAACTCCGACTTAGAGTACCAATAAAAGCGAACATGTGCAACTCAGGGTTGAACTGTGGAGTCCTCGGGGTTCTCTGAGCTTGGTTGTTTTCTTGCAAACATTTTGTTTCCCGGCTAGGTAACATCTTCAGTGCTGACTTAGAGTATCGAAAAAGTGCCAAACTTAAGCCACCCATTGAGGATGATTTAGATTTAATAAACAAATCAGTACATATTCTTTAGTTGATATTGCTATTGATAAGTCAATATTGCTTTGGCACAAAATGTCCCCTACCTCCCATCCATGTTTGAGTAGCAAGGTGCCTTTTACTTCTAGAAAATGTTGCTCAGTTCTGTTTTTAGCAGTGAAGTGGAATGGCACTGAAGACAGCCTTTCATGTTAGGAATGACTCCTGCTGTGACTTCAGTAAGCTTAACAGTGTTTAAAATTCCTCACATACATGATTTATAAATCCTAAAAATGTGTCTGACCTCTGTATTAAAGAAAGAAAAAAAAATCAAAGGTGCGTATTTCGGTGACATGAGGATTATGAAGATTAATGTCCATTCCCACCAAAGCGTAATGTGGGGTGGTGGGGGATTTTAAGAAAATGCCTTTGAACTGTGTTTAAATGATTTTAGATAAAGCTAGCTATCAGCTCCAAGTTCTAAGACAAGGAGGATTGAGAAGCTTAGCTAATTTCACTTTGCCCAGTGTTGTTTCAGAGGCTGTATGTGTCTCAAAATCATGTTTTCCTTTTTCCAGTTTAAAGGTGGTGATACTGCAATGTTCAGCTTTCAAGGGCAAATGTGCTATCCATAGATAGCATCACGGTGCACTGATATCTTGAAATACCGAGACCAAACATTTTAAGATATTGAGGCTCTTCCTTTCAAAGGGCTAAGTGTGTGTAGGGATACAGGGTAGGTAGATGAGGTTCACCCTTCATATTTAATACTTGTTTGTTGAGCAAGCCATAATTGGTTGGACTCCCACACACTATGTTAAACCAAGCCAACAACATAGCTTAATGTGATGAATAAACCGAGCTGTTCTGTGATTTCATTTAGTGACTGCATCAACTGCCTTAAAAACTAATCTGAAGAACTGTATTTCGATGTGGTGTCTGAGTTGACAAACTGTTGTTTGCAACCCAGAATCAGAAAGCAAGCTTTGAATTGGGTTTGCAAACCAGCGTTTTCCTGTAGCTGGTGTGATGTCTGAACTGACAAAGCATAGGGTTATGAGCTGTCGTTCCACCCTTTGAAGAATCCTCATTAAAGAAACCGGGAATGTTGAAGAAGGCTATAAGGCAGGGTTTCTCAACCTTGGCAACTTTAAGACCTGCGGACTTCAACTCCCAGAAAGCTGGCCAGGGAATTCTGGGAGTTGAAGACCACAGCTCTTAAAGTTGCCAAGGTTGAGAAACGCTGCTCTAAGGATTGTTATTTCTGTACAAAGGATGACTTTGTTGTTGAAATTTGCCTAGAGTACCTCACTGTGGCTTCTACTGAGTTCTGCTCAACACAGTAACTGAGAACCAAAGCCTCTTTGTTCCTGTTGCCTTGGGGCCTTTATATTAGAGTTAGCCGGGTGAAGCAGATTTCTCCAATTCTGTTGAAATCCCTGGATTCTTTGGACCCGCTTTGTTTTTTTGTACCGATATGGAGGAGCACATTATTCACGAGTGGCCGCATTTTGTGTGGTAGTTTGCAACGTCACTGAGGAGGTAACCTCTACTCAGGCTGCCATCATTTAGTGCCTGTTAGTAGAGCGTATCTTAATTTTTTAAATTAGACCATGTTAATTAGTGGTAAGGAATTCCCATTTGTTAACCACTTGTATGGTCAGCTTTGGCTGTAGGAAAGATAAACCTGATAGGGTCTTCACCCCTACAGTCTTGTGGGCATGTATATTCGTACATTTTCTTAAAGAGAGAAACAAAAATGTTCCTGATTATTGGGTGGCCTCCCCACCCCTAAAATGGCACGTGGTGGAAAAAGTAAAAGAGACAATGAATGAAAGGTCTGGTCTTTTTTTATCCTATGTTGCTATCAGATTTGGGGGAACTTTACCAAGGTTTGTAGCCAGCTTATACGTAATAGCCTCTTTGCTCTTACCCACCTACCTTGCCTTCAGTGTGTACTTTCAGGGAAGCAAAAGATGAATGCTTGGCATTTTCAGTCCTCCTTTCTCTTAAACCCCCAAAACAGGGTATGTTTCAGCAGCAGAGTGCCAACAGGAGCGGTTGCAGAGTGTCAGGGAAAGCAGATGGTAGTGATAGGGATTATTTTTTTAATTAAAAGAAATTCTAGTTCACGAAATGGGGTTTGATATAGTTGTCTCATTTGGCTGAAGCAGTTCTTATTCAGAGTACCCGTGTAGTTTTACATATTCATTTTTGATTCCCCCAGATTGCTTTTGGCTCCTTGATTCCATTCTGCAGTACACGTCATATGGAGTGATGCCACCAAGCCTCAGTCATTCGGAAAACAGGCAGCGGCCCCCAACCGGGGCAGGTTATATTCTTCCAGAGAGAATGGAAGGTGACTTGATTTGATTTCTACAGTTAGAGCTAAGATTGATGGCATTTGGCTTGGAGTGGGGGGAGCGGGAGGGGGGAGGCAGGCCAGCTCCGTCTGTTTTATTGATGTTGTCAGCCTCAATTTCTTTTGGGGAATGGGATAAAAGTGGATGGAGAAAACAGACGGGTGGGGTGGAGAACAAAGGGTTCTCCAAAGGCAGTGGAAGATGTTCTTTGGAACAAGGGTGAGCAGGTCACAGGTTGAAGCCCCCTCCCTCCCCAGCAACCCACTTGTGGCTTCCAAAGTTCCCACTGAAGTGGGTTTGGCTGAGAGGGTCAGCCCATTTTTATATGCTTTGGGATGTTCTAAGGGGTGAAATGCCTTGCAGAGGCTTAAAGCATTTGCTTTCCCCCTTAAAAACTCCAAATATTTCCCCTCCCAATTCCTGGGTCGGGGAGATTTTTGCCTCTTAATGTTGTCCCCAAGGGCTGAGATGTTTGGCACCATCTACTCCTTTGCTGTTGTGATGGAATCCGCTGTGCCTCCTGAGATCTGCAGGTTGTGCAGAAAAGCAAAGGGCAACTTTGAGCTTGCTAATCTTTTCTCCAGGATCTGCTTGTTTGCTGTTGATTTTATTTGTTGGGAAATCAGCCCGTCTCAAGGTTCTCAATGGCTTACACAGAACAAAGTGCTTTTCAGCTTGCCTGCTTTGCTTGGGTTCTTTCAACCAGCTATCCACACACACACACACACCCAACCAGATAAATTGGGGAAAAGGATAGCTTTGGTAAAACAAGGTCTATCACTCATGCTTAAAAAAAGAAGCAAGTGACAGATCTTCAAGGATCTATTTGATGTAATTCTTTTCTGTGACATTTGCAGGGAACCACCTTCATCGCTACTCCAAAGTGCTCGAGGCTCACTTGCGTGACCCCAAACCTCGCTCTCTTCCAGCATGTCCTCATTTGTCCTGGGCAAAGCCACAACCTCTGAATGAAACAGCACCCAGGTTGCCATTTTTTAAAATGTTTCTTCTGTCTCTTAGTAAGATTTCAGTTTCAAATTGGATCAGTGGATCTGTTGAATAATAAAATAGCAGGTCTTGGGGTTTGTACTGGGAAATGTGAAAAGATGTATTTTAAAGGGGCACAGTCTAGAAGCAAGAGAAATTGGAAGGCCATGGTGATGCTGATTTTATTCTCATCCAGAATGTATCTCACACTTTGTCAGATATTGTGACTGAGAGCAAAGCCAAGTAAATCTGGAATGGGATGGTAAGGCCCAACAGTATTTGGTAGCAAGGAAGAGCCTCCAAAAGAGCTGTTCTGAACCTTTAATAGACTTTAGGAAATATTATTTGACTTCTTTAAGCAGATATTTCTGCAATGTCCTTGTTCTACTACCCAGCTCTGACTGAACAAGGCTAAACCAGCATCTCCCAGAACACCAGACTGAGATCTGTTGCAGGCATTACACCTGATGTTCTCAAGAGCAATACCTTTACTCTTCCCTCTTGTTTTCTTTTTAGATATTCATTGTTTTTTTTTTCTGCTAGTCTGAATTGACTAGCAGCCCAGGATACATAAAGAGTTTGTATTGTTTTTGTCTCTTCCAGCAACCTTTGGAAACATCAGAAGTTATTATCAATTGACCTGGATAAAGTGGCCTTGCCAAGCTTCCATCAGAACCGACCCCAAGTCAGGCCTTTATCACCTGGAGAGAGTGGAGCATGGGATATTCCAGGAGGTAAATACCAGAAGACTGCAATGAAGTTGCCCCAGAGTTCAGCACCTGGAATAATCTTGATCTGTTTCTTTGGTCACCTCCATAACAGCTTATTTGAGGGACCAGGTTATAATTAACGCTCACACATCTGGCTACATTTCAGTCAAAATATGTCTGCCACGGCATAACACTTCGTTTCATATCATCCTTTCTCTGTCCATTAGCATTTCTAAATTCCTTTTAGTTGCAGAAGATGTTGGGAAGTTTGAGAAGAGCTCACTTAGCTTCTGTGGGGGTGGAGGTGGGGCAATTCAATTGGACTTGACCATTATGGACTTGATCTTTATGACATCAGGTAAAACATAGCAGTGTCCTAAAGCATGACCAGCATACCTCCTTCACCCCCTCAGCTCACTTAATATATTATGGGAAACAATTGCAAGTCCTGGGCCAATTAACTAAATTAGAAATTAATCATTGTTTACTGATACTATACTCTCCTTGAAGAACTGTAGGGTCTTCCAGATACTAAATACTCATTGTCAAATTGGTCCAGCCCAGGTAACCTCTGGGTCCACACATCATATTAAGCCATCATATTGGGAAGTTTGGTTTTTGCCTTAGCATACAGAATGAATCTGAGTCATTGTGGTTTATTCAGTAGACCAGACATGCCCTAAAGCTGACACCTTCTAAAAGTTGGACTGGATTAAGAGGATTTTATTATTTATTTTCTAAAATTTATCTAACTGTCTGAAGCCTGCTGGACTCTAGGCGGTACAAAAACAGATCAAGAATTAATTATGATTAGAATTCAAGACTAAAAAGTGCAAAATTAATAATAGTGTCATGCTATGTCAACTTCCAGAGGTCCTCAGACCTCCAGAAGAGCTCTGTTTTCACGTTACTGGAAGGCCGTGTGGGTGGGAGCCATACCCACTTCAGGAGGCAAGCTCTCCTATTATATACATAGGAGATGATCTTGTTGTTGTTGTTGTTCAGTCGTTAAGTCGTGTCCGACTCTTCGTGACCCCATGAA